AGGCTTCAGGGAAGAATTCTCTAAGAAGATGACAGTTGTCTCTGAGATAATAAAGCAGCGCACATGTTAAAAATAAGAGTTGTACGAGTCCCCAATAAAATGATTTTAAAAAGAGAGGTTGGGGGGCGGGGGTGGGGGGCAGAGAACCTTCCATATATGAAGAAGTAAAGAGATAAACAAATCCTATCCCAGAAAAGCAAGTCTAGAACTAGACCAAAATACCAATAACTAACCTTTTAGGAGAGAGAAAATTTGCTATCAACAAAATTGCTAATAATTTTATCCACAAAAACACTGCTACATTGGGCAGAACGGGAAGCCCTACCCTCCACCCAGGTTCTGGATGAACAGTGAACCTTCTTCTCTTCTTTCTACGCCACAGAGGCTGGTATCCTGGATGTTGCCCTACAAAAGACTACGAGGCATTATCCAGAATTATAATATTTAACTGGTCTTTTTTTCCTAAGATATTTCTATATTTCTTCTTTTTTTAAACTGATCTTTTTGTCAACATAAAACAAAATGAAATTTAAAACTTTAACAGGAAGCAAAACAAGCAATGGAAATTGTCTCTGAGAATGCCCTGAATAATGCATTTAGGGGGGAAAATATTCATAATAACTATTTTACATATGTTCATAGATTTGAATGCAATCACATTATTTAAGTAAAAGAAAAAAGATAATACAAACACAGAATATAAATAAAGATATAGAATTTATTAAAAGAACCAAATGAAAATTCATTCTGAACTTGAAAAATATAAATTCCAGATGGACTGACCAGTAAATTGAAGATATCAGAGAAAGAATCAGTGAACTTGAAGGCTGAGCAATAAGGTTAGACAATGGAATGGAAGTGGGGGAAAAATGAAAAAAAGAGAAGAGTATTTCAGAAGCACATGGGACACAGTCATGAAGAATCAGTCTATGTTTTTCTCTACTTTTAAGTTAAGAAGTTGGCCCATCACAATGTTCATGGATGCTGACAGAACATATAAGAGTCCCAGGTCAAAAATTAATGACAGTTTATGATCCTGAGCAATAGCAGTAGCCAGAGTATCGATACTTGCATGGCTACCTGCAAGTCCACCTTCCCACAAGTCAACAAGAAGAGGCCCGGAAGATAACTACAAGTGCAGTTGAATGCATTATTGGAAAGGGTCTTCAAATAAAGCAAATTTTAATCTTTTTTAGTGGTCAGTATACCAAAACACTTTTGGCTCAAAGGTAGGTTTCCAAAATTTCATAGTAAACTTCTATTCTTATTCCATGAACATCTTGAAGTAACATCATGCATACTATTCTGTATAGTGAACAATCCTGACTAGATCTCTATATTCCAAGGCTGTTCAATGCTTTGGAAAAGATAACCCGGAACAGAGGAATTTAGTTCCTCTACTTGCAAGATGTAAGAAGTATGAGAAACTAATGTAGAACTGCCTTCCAATATACACAGACCTTTACCAAGATACCCACCCACTACCAATTCTAATTCACAGCAATCCTATAGGACAGAATAAAACTGCTCCACAATGTTTCCAAGGCTATGCATGTTTAAGAAACCAGGCTACCTAACTCCTCTCCCACTGAGCAGGCAGTAAGCTGAAGCCACTAATCTATTGGTGAGCAGCTCAACAGTTAAGCCACTGTGTCACCTGGGCTCCTTTCACCAAGATACATCATTGCAAATGCCGAAACCAAAGAGAAAAAAGAAAAGAAGTTGACAGTACCAAGAAAAAAATGATTTCTCAGGAGAAAAAAAAAAAAATTTATCATTCAAAATCCCCAGAGAACAAAAAATGCTAACAAAGAACTCAATATGCATAAAAATTACCATTTAAAGTTGAAAGGAAACACCTTAGGGGAAAGTTTCACAATGCCTCACAATGTAAAACAGAGTTAACGCATCACCCAACAATGCTACTAAGCATATATCTATGATAAAAACAAGTCCCAAGACACTTGCCCACATGGATGCTCACCAACTCACTGTGTGCAACAGCCAAAAGTAGGGCACCAAATTTGTTCATTATATTTATCCATCAACAAACGAATACATGAATAAATACAATATACCATGGAATATTAGTAAGCAATAAGGGATTTCCTGTTTCCAGTCCAACATGTAATGAGCTTAGAAGTTATTTCTCCCATCATTCTCAATTTGTTCTGCTTAACAAACTGAAAACTGCCAAACTTTCATAAAATACATTAGAGAATTAAGATGAGTTAAAATTGGTTCCCCTGACGAGAGAAACTTTAACAGGTAAATACAGAGAATCATAAGCTAGGAATAGAGAGGAATTTGGTAAGCAATGTTTATTAACTGAGGATGTTGCTCCAAAACCTACAGCTAGCACTATTCATTTACATATTGATAAGACATATTGACATTATACATATTGATAAGAAAATAGATGCTTTTTCCCAAAGACGAAACTCAAGGCTGTCTCTTTCCAGCACTAGTAATTAAGATCATACTGAATGCTATAAATGAGGGGGGAAGAAATAAAAGTTATACATATTGGGAAGGAAGAAATAAAACTGTCTTTGTTTACAGTTGACAACACTATCTACATAAGAAAATTCAAAAGAATAAAATAATTAAAACATACCGGAACTACCAGGCAATCACGGTAAGGTTTAAGAATATAAAGTGAACGTATAAAAAAAAAACATTTCCCTATATATCAGCAATGAACAGGAATTTATTATTTGTGATAAGCTACATTGGTAGTAGAGTTCAGTGCTAGGAAGTTCTTTCCAAATCATAGCGATTTTAAATACAAGAAAACTAAACACTGCTAAGTCCTGGCGCCATCCTCACAACTGTTATATGTGAGCCTATGGCAGACAATATGTAAATCCATCTCATTGAGGGTCTACCCCGTCTCCTGTGACCTTCCATTTTAACAAGCATGATGTCCTTCTCCAGGGACTGGTGCCTCCTGACAACATGTCCAAGGTACATGAGACAAGTCTCGCCATCCTTGACACTAAGGAGCATTCTGGCTGTACTTCTTCCAAGACAGATCTGTGTTCTTTTGGCAGTTCACGGCATTTTCAATATTCCTCATAAACATCCTGATACAAGTGCCTCCACTCTTCCACAGCCTTCCTGATTCACTGTGCAGCTTTCACACACATGATATTTTCGATCACTTCATAGGCCATGTGAAAGTTGCACAATGAGTAAGGAAGACTGAAAGAAAAAAAAAAAAAACACACAAAAGAACATCTAGATTTAAAAGGAAAATTCTGTTATGAAAATTGAGAATTTCAGAATACTTCATTATACCTCAACACAAAGTGAATTAGAGTGCCGTTTTATAATTTTTGTACAAATTGTTCTGTTGACAGTGGTAACATTTTCACAGTATGTTAGAAATTCCCTTATTTCCATTGTGTTTTTTCTGCTTCCATTGATCTAGTTACCCTGCTCCTCCTTGCCTTTCTCTTTAGTCTTTAAGCGAAAATACTAACTTTGGAGAATTGTGTTCTCCAATTTTGTGCAGTAAATCACAATCCGTGTATATGTAGATGAGTTCGATTCAGGTGGATGGAATCACATTTGAGAATAAGAACTTCTTTGTTAATGAAGCCATTACCAGTGCAAGGAATATATCAAAACCAATCCCTTTTGAGCTATAAAAGGAACAAGCAGGGCACAGAAACGAACAAACAGGAATGGGGAAAAATAGATGTCATGTGGAGCTCTCCAAAGAAAATTGACAAGAACACAAGACTTGAGACAAGGACAATTCCTCAAGTTCAGATACAGTGCCTTCGCCTAGAGCCAGTGCCTTTAACTTAATCTTTTAACATTCTAAATTAAGAGGGACTGCAATGATAAGCTCAAACATAACCATTATGAAGCTGGGGTAAGACCACGGAGTGTTTCACGCAATCGCTGTGTGTCTGAACCAACTAGATAGCATCAACAATAGTAACAAGAACCTGCAAGGAATCTATTTCCGTTCACTAAAAACACTTGGAGTGTTTCTATTATGGCAACATTAAGACACTGAGGGGCCTTTTTTAAGACGATGGCACTGAAGGTGAAGAAGGAAGCCCCTGCCCCTCCCAAAACGGAAGCCAAAGCAAAGGCTTGAAAAGTCAAGACGGCCGTGCTAACAGGCGTCCACAGCCACACACACAAAAAAAGATCTGCAAGTCACCCATCTTCCGGCGGCCCAAGGCCCGAGGCTAAGAAGGCAGCCCAAAGACCCTGGGAAGAGGGCCCCCAGGAGAAACAAGCTGGACCATTATGCCATCATCAAGTTCCCCTTGACCACAGGGTCTGCCAGGAAGATGGAAGGTAACAACACACTTGTGTTCATTGTGGATGTCAAAGCCAACAAACAGCAGATCAAACAGGCTATGAAGAAGCTCTAAGACATTGAGTAGCCAAGGTCAACACCTTGATCAGCCTGATGGTGAGAAGAAGGCATATGTTCGACTAGCTCCTGACTGTGACGCTTTAGATGTTGCCAACAAGATCGGAATCATCTCAAAGTGAGCCCAGCTGGCTAATGCGAAATATAAACCTTTTCAAGATAAAAAAAAAGAAACTAAGAGACTCCCTCCTTTCTCCCACATTACTCATTGAAATAGAAAACAAATCCATTCTACTCCTATCTTTAGGAAAATCTATGACATCAGCAAGACAATAATGACAGGAGAGATAATAATCACATCTTAGCCTAGTTATTGGTTCTATTAACATAATAGGTCATTCAGAAAGTCCCAATAAGTCCCAATCATTTCCATTTATTTTGGTCAAACTCAGCCATAATTATTGAAGAAGAAAGACCGAGTCCTTAACAATAAGCATCTAAGAAGAAAAGTAATTAAAGATTGGCATATCTATATTAATCAATATCTGAGAATTCCACATTATTGACCGCAAAAAGAATTATCAGGCCCAATTTGCTGCAATGGCAAATTACAGAAAGAACTTTAAATAAAATCTATAGAGATATCAAAAAGATTGCTTACCTTCCTTCATTGACAAGTTCAATAAAAGCAAGGCCTGCATTCTTCTGGATAGAATTCTGCCATTCCTAAGAGATAGCAAAAAACAGTTGAATTGTTTTTCTCTCAGCAGCTTATTTCTTTTAAGACAATAAAAAAATCACCCACATCCATTTCATATCTTGACTCTGAAAGGAAATGCATTTTCAAACACGCTGTCAACCCAATACAGCTTCATGAACACATGAACTGTTGATATTGAAAGTACAAAAATAAGTTAGCAGCAGTGTGATTCAATATACACTACATAAACTTATCTATATTCATATAGCCCTTGTTGTTCTTAATCTATACTACGATACACTAGTTTAACTGAAATCACTGCATGCTCCTAAAATGCATGGTTCAAAGGGGTTATATGCAATAGTATCCAATAAGAAAGTTCAAAGTTCACCCTTTGAGGTATTTAGTTTATTGTCCCAACCCGGCCGATAAACACATGTGGGGTTAATTGAAGGGTGGAGGGATAAATGGCTCAGTGAGCCTCGCCTTTCTAGGTCTCGGGTCTCTTGCTTTGTGATGGTTGCACCAGGGTGCAGCTACCTTAGCCAATTCCCTGCTTCAGCTGGCAAGTCTCACTTTCTGCAAGACATCCCTGAGGAGAAGCCACATGGGCCTACTCGATGCAGCACTGGGTGCTGGAGCAACCATGTGGAGACCCCTGCCAGCACTGAGATGCTTAGACTTGGCTTTCCTCCTGCAGTCAGTATCACTGTGTGTATTTTGTGAGATGGAGGAGGACTCTGTGGGTTGGTGTTGGGCATATGGGTTAATGGGTTAATGTTGGACTTGTGGGCTTGGGCAGCACTGGGTTGGGATGTTTTCTTGATGCGCACTTAATCTTTATATAAAACTCTCTCTTATAGAGGAGTTTCTGTGGATTTCTTTCTCTACAGCACCCAGTACTTTAGAATACTACTTTTGTTTCTCTAAAGTACCCAGTAACACACCCTTTACAAGAAATTGTGTCATCAACAGTGATTTGTAAGATCCAGGATCCAAATACCATATTCTAAATATGATAAATATATTAATTTCATCATTACACTGAAATTTTCATGTCTGAAATGAAGTTTTCCTAAATGACATAAATATTATTAAAGCGAGAAAACACATACTCTGTTGGTACAAAATATGACTAATGAAAAGAGATGCATAAAACAATACTGTTTAATCTATGTCAGGTTCATTTGAGTAGATATCTTAACTCCATCTTCGATCTTAATTCCCCATGTCACAGACCACAGTCAAAGGCTACAGCCATCTTTGGGGATTAGAGCTGGTATGTTTGCAACAGTGGGGGAAGGCCCTACAAGCACACCAGGAATTCTGTCCAAGACAGAAAGGCACTGGGTCGAATGGAAAATTTGAAAACATAAACCTTATACAATACCTACATTGTGAAGGAGCAGAAGAGCAACAGGTGAAAGGGCTGACAAGCAGTGGTTACGAGTACAGAAATAACAGCCATGGCTATGCCATAACGAATCATATACATGCCTATCTTTCCGTATGCTATGAAAACTCTACGAGAATAGCACCATTAGATTTGGTTCCTGGTTTAATGAATAGGTTCCAGAACTGTTTCTTGAATTTGGTAAACCCACACTCCATTAATATATGGCACGTCTCAGTATTTTATTTTGCTTTCTTCAGAGTTCTAAATTAAGTCACAATTTACTCTTGTTCCATAGAAAAATAGAATCTAAAAATTGCTTGCCCTTATGCTTAATTTTCATATATATATTTGTCTTGTACCTTCCCCATAAGAGACACTAACACAATACAGTGAAGTAGGAGGATATTTTAAAGAGCTACTGTAACATTCTTTAATTCACAAATGATGTTATTTTGAAGGGTAACTTGATAGCAAAATGATGGGTGAAGAACTTAATACCCAGGTGACCAGGAAAATTGTTGCCTGAGTCATCCAGAAATGGTGGGACAGTGGCTTAAAAACAGGAAAGGCCAACAAAAACGGGTGGAGGTGGAGGTGGGGAAGGGAGTCAAAAATCCTTTCAACGAAAATATTAGCAACACTTTGACTTGTATAAGAATAATTTCATTTGGCTCCTTTCAAATCTCAGGAGCAATAGGGTCCAGCGGCCATTATTAACCACCAATTTTACAGATGAGTGAACTGAAGTTCAAAAGCCAAGTCAACATGCCCAAAGTGAAAAAGCCTATGCAATGTTAGTGCTTATCCAAATCCAGGTTTTAAAGCTAGAAATCTTAAACTCTTTCCAAGCTATTATGCAAGCAATTAAGTCTGACACAAGATGAATCATAGCAGTACCAATCTGACATACATTTAGTGTGATCCTAAGAGTTTGCAAACTGTAGAGATTTACAAAAAAACTGAGTTAGACAGTGACCTCAACACATCCTCTATTAAATAAGTAGTATTACTGCCAATCAAGATTTCAATTAATAGCAGCATATATCAGGGGGCTTCAAAACTGCACAGAAAAATTCCATTATCTTTCAATTCCACGTTTTATCGAACTTTCTGAAGCACCCTTGTATTCATAAAAAAGTAGCAAAAGAGGGAATTATTTAATCTATTTGGGAGACAAAGAATTCACAAGGAGAGGGTATCTTACTTGTGCTTTAAAGACAGAACAGACAGCAGTGTGCAAAAACAAATGTAAAACATGTAATTTTTTTAACATAAGGGTGGGGTGAAAGTAGGGAAGGGAAATATAAAAGAAACTCAAACAGAAAAAAAAAAATTGTTGGCAGAGGACTGGGAAGGGCAGCACGGTGCCTTGAGGTGTCTGCTCCCGGGAGTGAGTTCTGGACCTGGAGAAAGTCCTCCCACTCCTAAGAGGAGATCACAGAATCTAATCAGGAGGCTGCTAATCCAGAACACTATAACACTATAATCCAGAACAGTAAACATCCATTACAGAACAGTTGGGCAAACTTGGCAAGCAAGCCATCGGCTCATCTCTAAGTTTGCTACTGTTGAAGATTTTGGGGTCCTGTACAACCATACCCAGTTGTCTCATAATTTAATGACTGGCTGTGACTACTCACTTTTTAAGGATGGGATTACGCCCGCGTGGGAAGATGAGAAAAACAAACAAGGAGGCCGGTGGCTAATTACACTGAACCCACAGCAGAGACAATGTGACCTTGATGGCTTTGGGCTAGAGACACTGCTGTTTCTTGGTGGAGACTCTTTGGTGACGTATGTGGATCTGTTGTTAATGTTAGAGCTAAGGGTGATAAGACAACAACCTGGACAGCACTGACTGTGACAACAGATGCTGTTACACATACAGGGCAATGTACAAGAAAAGGTTAAGGACGTCTACAAAGACGGCGATTGACACAGCTCAGAGCCACTCCACCACAAAAAATAGGTTTGTTGTTTAAGAAGACAGCTTCTGAGGATCCTCCTAAGAGACTGCGTCAAGTATCTGAGATTTGGAAGCTAAACTTTTTCAGCCCTCTTCAAAAGCAGAATGGACTGCATTTCAATTTGATTTCCATCTAAATGTTACTAAGATATAATGAAAGTCTCCTTTTTTAAAATTTTGGTTACTGTATCTACTTTCCCAATCAAAGTAATACAGTACATATTCTCCCCAGAATCCAGAGATGTGTTCCTGGCCCACTCGGTAACAGCTCAGTAGAATTCACATTACAAAACATTTACTCGCCCACAATATCCCAAAGAAGAACTTGCAATTCTATACCTTATAGGGAAAAAATTAAAAGATTTATATACCACTGTATTCAGGAGCATACTTTGCTAGTTTGAAAAGCATGAATAGAATTTTGTCACAAATTTATTTTTACAGCATTTTTTTTTGCTGTACTCTTGCTGATGGCTGCTAGATTTTAATTTTTTTGTTTCCCTACTTGATCACATTAGTGATTCTGATGTCCGTTTTTCATTTGCTTTGCTTTTCTTCTTTCTCTTCATGTAAGATAGATGAAGGATCCAGGAATATGACACAAAGGTGGAATAAACATTAATTTTGTGCATTCTTTGGTAACTTCTTTTGTCATTTTGTAACTACAAAGCTTTGCTACAAATTTATGCATTTTACTCAAACCAGTGATCTATGTTTGTGTGATTTCCTAAACATAATTGTGGATTTAAAAAATGTAACATAATTACATTAGTATGTCTATTTTTTTTTTTTTAATCTTTTCACTGTATTGTAACACTTTGCATTACTTAGGTTATTTTGCTTTGGTTAAAATGGCTCAAGTAGAAAAGCAGCCCCATTCATACTAAGACAGTGTACAAAACTGTAAATAAAATGTGTACAGTGGAAAAAATTATTTTGCAAGGAGCTATATCACCATGTGATAAAGTCTGTGTGCTGGCATTATGAGCTTCAGTTACCTATGGAACACTCCTATTAAAGCAGAGGTTAGACATTGCTCCACCATCCAAACTTCCTACCAATTCTGCCACCAACCAATAATCCAAAGGCATTCTCTACTTCGCTGCTGGGTTCAAAAGTTCATGGCACCTTCTCCCCCTGCCCCCCACCCTCTTGGTATCATTGCCCCCATTTCTGTTCCTGAGGGGCTTATCTGACCTGGATTCCATGTGTTAAGTGCTCTTGTCTGTACCAGTATACACGCTCCAGCCTAGCTGGATTTGTAAGGTAGAGCTGGGGTAATATTGGAGGTGAGAAAGCCTCAAGGAACCATAGGAATATTGTGTTTTGTTAGTGCTATACTGCACCCTAGCTGACTCGTCCCTTACTTATGACCCTTCTGTGAGGGGATGTCTAATTGTCTACTGATGAGTTTGAGGTCTCCACTCTGACGTCCCTCATTCTCAACAATATGATTAATTTGTTTTGAGTCTTCTGGTGCCTATTACCTGGTCCCGTCACACCTCGTGATCACACATGCTGGTGTGCTTCTTCCATGTGAGCTTGTTGTTTCTCTGCTAGATGGCACTTATTTAACTTCAAGCCTTTAAGACCCCAGATGTTATATGTTTTAATAGCCGGGCACCATCAGCTTTCTTCACCACCTTTGCTTATGCATCCATTTT